CCAAAGGGACAGGAACACTTCCAGGTTTTTCTGCACACTCTGTACTGGAAGAAGTTTAAGCCACTCCAGGTAACATTTCTCTCAGTTACAAACAATCTTATTTGAAAAAAGAAGGGACAGAGAGTCTGTACACCACCACATGCTGACATAAACCATTAGACTTCAGTGTTTATATCCTGTGCAACTGCTCATGGCACACAGGGCAGCCATGGGAGTGGCTCAGGCCATCATTTGAATATTTAACAACACACATCAGCAGTATTAGCAGTAATCAGATAATTAGCAGTAGAGCTAATTATCACATATTAGATGTCGACATTAGCAGTCCACTCACAGAAGTGACAGCACTTGCCTTTTACAAATAACCACCAGCTGCTTGCAGACTAGGTTGGACACCCCTTTGAAACATTTTATTTAGAGTCATCGTGATTCAGTACGTTAAAGATTCGATTAAAATTTGGAGAAATTTAAATAATCCATCTCCTATAAAATTCTGTTATTGCTCAAACAGGCCAGCCCTCAGTGCAACTACAAATCCCATCTTTGCCTACATGGTCCTGGAGGAACGACAGTGTTCTGTGAAAAAAGGAGGATTTGTTTCTAAGAGATGTAAGCAGTACCCCTTCACAAATGGTTTGACCTCCCAGGGCATGAGGCTGCAGTACCTTTTCAGGTGTGTCCTGTCCCCACTGTCAGAGCTGGCCACAGAAGAGGTGTCATAGGAGTGTGTATCCGTGTTATCAATGTTCAAGAGAAAGGGATCCTCCAAAATGAAAGACTCTTCTTCATCATCAGTCTGGAGGGCAAGAATCACCAGAGCTTGCTGAATGTTCAAAAGGCACAACAGCATACATCAAACCAAAGCAGCATCAATTCAGCAGGGAAATGGAGAAGGAGAGGACAAGAATGCCTCATATTTAAAAGCCAGAACTATTTATTACCTTACTGGGCTGATTCTGTGGAAGACCCAGTTTCCAGAATTTACAAAAATCACAGAAGTGGGCTGTAGAACAAGTCATCTAACCTTTCTTCCCCAGATATCCATCAAAACTTTAATTGACCTTTAACAGAGCTATTTCCAAGTCTCCAAATTGCCAAGAGAAAGTCTAGAATTACCATCATCTACTCCAGCACTTCAAGTGGCACTAAGAGCCCAGAAGTCCCTTCAGCTGCCATGAGAGTTCATTTAGCTGTCTTCTCATCTCTTCTGTTTGCAATCTCTTTCTCCTTTGAGTCTTAGCCTAGAATTTTGTATCAGTTTTTCAAAAAGCCATTCTCCCTGATGTGCTGTAAAACCAGTGCTGCTCCTGTTGGTCTCTCAGCACAAAGCCGGGGGACCAACACAATCCCCCAGCTGATGCCAAACCAGCTGGGAGCAGAGCAGCTGCCCCTCATTTCACTTATACCTGGCGGCCCTGTGCTCATTAAGCATCTCTTTCTAAACTGCAGCTGTTTGTCTTTTTGGCTCAGACAGGTTCTCCTCTGCTAAAATCCTTTTTAGAAGATGTTTTGCCAGTAATTCCCATCCTACATTTATGAGATACTGCAATAAGACTTTGCCTGCACTGAACTAGATTTTCTTCATTACTACCTCTTAAATTTAAGACTTGGAATCTACTCCTCTGGCATGGATGTCACTGCATGTCTTTACAGTTTGAGATGACCCAAATTTACTGAATTTCCACTACTCAGGGCACCAGTAGAAACAGGACATAGCTGCTCCTACTACTCCTCTTGTTTCTAGACTGTCTCTGTTTGGGACACCTTATGCCTGTGTTTTTAATACAGGTTTTTAAAAGAATTGCAACCCAGGCAGGCTCCTTTCCCCTTCACACTAGCTTCCTAGCAATCCAGCCACCAACCTTCTCATTCTGTTAAAAAGCTTGTTGTCTTGGAGTTTATCTTTACTTGAGTGCCCTTCTTTGTGTTTCTAAGGATTGTGCACTCACACAGCTACTGTAGAAATACAATTAGTTGGATACAAATGAGACAGAGTCAGATCTCCCCTGCAAGGCACCACAGGTAACATCAGCTGCTTCACTGCTGCTGCCAGAGAGCGTCATATGTGACAGGAACAACACAAATGAAGCTGAGAAGAATTCAGCTCTCATCTCCTTCCACAACTTCACAACTTCTCTCAATACTTTCCAATTACTTTTAGCTAAAAAAAGTTGTTTGGTGACCCTGACCTTTAATAGGCTGTCTAGATTTTAGGTGACTCTCCAGATCTACAGATGAATGTGCTTGGACTTGATGAAAACCTTTTATGCTGCAGCTGTGGATATTTTAATTAGAAAAAAAACCCCAAAAAACAAAACAACAAAACTCCGTATCACACACTGTAGAGCAATTACTCCACTGAGTGTGCACCTGCTAGCTATCAGTATCAGGAAACCATGAAGCTCTACAATTTTGTTTTCCAAGAAAAGCACAGCAAGAGTAGAGGAAAAGGAGCATGTGCTGCCTCACCTGACCTCTCCCCTGTCCAGTGGTTCACTCACCTCATTCAGGATGCTCTCCAGCGTTGGAGGAGTATCAACTTGAGGAATGTCAAATTCTTTGTCGTCAATCTGTACATTAGAAACCACAGCCTGAGTTTACGTTGTCTGCTCCACCTTCCAAACCCTAATTAAAGCCACATAAAAAGCAGCAGAGCACACACGCCTCTCAGGAAAGGCAGGCAAGAGCTCCGAGGGCAGGGTCATACACGGTTTCACATGGTTGAGTGAGGAAAATATTTCCTTCTTGGAGTCTGACTTACTACCAGAAACAGTCACAGAATACTGTGGATGTTCTGAGAATAAACATGCTATTGCACTATAAAGGGTTTTACAGCAAGAGAGAAATTAAGTCACTGACTCTGTACGTGCTACATAAGGCACTCATCATACAGAACTTTGGAGGTCGTTGGGTTTTTTCCCTATACAGGTGAAGCACGCGAAATTTATGTAAATGACAGTGACCCATGACACCATACTGGAACTGACACGGATCAGCCCGGGACGCCCCCGCCGCCCCTCCCTCACAGTGTCTGTAAGAAACACCCAGGGACCTCCCTCACAGTGTCTGTATGAAACACCCAGGGACCTCCCTCACAGTGTCTGTATGAAACGCCCAGGGACCTCCCTCACAGTGTCTGTATGAAACACCCAGCGAACTCCTTCACATAAGTGTGAAGGCCCCCGCCGACCCTCGCTCACAGGATCACATGAGTGTGAAGGGACTCGCCCACCCTCTCTCACAGGTGTCTCTATGAAGCACCCACCGACTCCCCCTCACGGGTGTGTGAAGGGAGCGGCCGACCCTCCGTCTGTGTGAGGGGTCCGACCTTTCCCCCGCGTGTGTCTCAGGGACCCACCGCCCCTCCCTCGGCCCAGCGGGAAGCGGCCGAGAAGCCGCAGCCCCCCCGGCCAGGCCGTGTCGCCTCCGCGGCGGTTCGGGACGCACCAGCTCGCTGCGAGAGTCCAGCTCACGGTCGAGCTCCGCCACGCTCAGCCGGTGCACGGGAGGCTCCGGGCACGGCTCGGCCTCCGCCGGCTCGGGGGCCGCGGCCATGGCCGAACCGGCTCCGCCGGGACTCGAACCCGCGAGCAGAGCCTCCTCCCCACGCAGCCGCAGCGCAGCGGGGCCGCCCCCTCGCCTGCCTTAAAGGGGCCCCGCGCCGCCGGGGGACACCAAGGGTACGGAGCCGGCGCTGCTGCCACAAGGAAATCTTGTATTTATTTAAAAAAAAAAAATCGCATCTGCTCCACGACTGCGGTTGTCATACAGGACCCGATGGATGCGTCAGCCTCCGAGGGAAGAAAATGAGCAAAATTAGCAATAGGTGCAGAAAGGGGAGGCAGAGACCAACATCCCTCACGTCCCTTCGCCTTAAAGCATCCCATGGTGCTTCAGCTAAAACTAGGAGGTTTTGCTTCGATTCCCACATTCTGGAGCCTAAGATTTGGTGTGCACAGGGCCAGGATGTAGCATTGTCCCAGCAAAGCCAAGAAAAAATGTCCCTTTTAGGAGAAGAGGCAAATGCCTTTGGGAATTCGTGGCTAATTTTAAACAAGGCAGGAGATGGTGTAAGCAGATTTGGAGCCCAAGCATCTGTGTTTTCTTTTAAAAACCACCTGGAAACAGAAAGCCATGTGGGGTCTCCAAGGGCTCTTACCAGCCCAGAAGGCAAGGGGGGGTCAAATATAAAATAAAACGCATTGGAAGGATAAATTCACCCAGTTTCACAATGCCAGACACCCAAACTATGCTGAGCTGTTGTTTGTGCCCAGATGGACGAATGGCCCCTCTGGTGTCCCAGCAGCAGCTGAATCCATGCTGAAGGTTCCAACTTTTAGAGGTTCAAATTAAAGGCACAGAGAACATCCTACACTTGTGCCTTGCCTTACCTGTTAGTCCTTCCCGTTGTTCCTCCTGAAAGGGAGCTGTGCTTCCCTCCTCTCTGGAGAAGGCTCTGTCTGGCACCTAGCAGCAAGGGCACATGGATGAGCCAGGAACATCCCACACCTACACTCCAGGTAAGCCTGTGCCAGGCAGGGCCCCTTGTCCCACCTCCCCCTGAGCAGGAACAGCCCTCCTGCTGTCCTGGGCCAGCTCAGCTCAGCAGGGACAGTAGAGGATCTGCCTGTCTAGGGTCACCTGCTGAGCTTTCAGTCAGCAAGAGCTGGGGGAAAAGCATTCCCAGGAACAGGCCAGCAATGGCAGCAGAGAGCTGCAGGCTTTAGAGATGCCTTAGGAGCAGCAGGTCACACACAGGTAAGACAGTTTTGCTCCTCAGAAATGTCATTACTTTAGATCACACACACAAAGCCAGTCCCTGTGGTGGTAGCTTAGGAGGTTGGCTGGGCAGGGGAGAGGATTTTTGAAAAGAAGTGGCTCTGCTTTAGAGCTATGCTGGCTCTGGGGAGCTGAACCTCTCCTCTTGCATGCACATCTACAGGTGTTTGAAGCTTTAGTGACCCATTACCACCACAGGCTCTCTTCCATGTAAACCCTTCCTTTCCCCTGCCAGCTGTTTCAGGATGGTCTTCTGCAGCAATGGTGCATCTGCTCCTCTTACAACAGCCACTAATTCTCCTCCCTGGAAGGTGTGGAAAGCAAATCAGTCAGCAAATGCTCAGATTTTGCTTTCTGGGCTCTGGAATTCCCCACAGCAGCACATCACCCACACTATATGTACCAGGCCCTCCTCCCTTCAGAGCTGCTCTGCTCCACAGCAAGAGGGAAACCTTGGAACAACTTTATTTGTGCCTCCTCGTCAGTCTCAGGATGAAGCAACACAGGTTGTGAGAGGAGTGAGGTCCTGCAGAAGCAGGAGGCTGAACCTGAAGACTCCACAGGGCAGCACATGGGCTGTATATTCTTATCAGCACAGCATTTGATTACCAGCAGATACAGAGCAAATAAAATTGTCCCATCACACATTAAAGAAATAAAACATCCTCCCAAAAGGATCGATGTTCCCACCAGCAGGACATGTTTATTCCTATGCAACCACTGGGAAAATATTTTCACTCACTTTATAAAAGAGAAAGACAGGCTCACATTGTCCTCTGTATTTTTCCAGAGCCTCAATGGAATCAACTTCAGCCTAAAAGGAATGTAAAATAAAATAGGTGTTTCTAGAAAAGCATTTCTGCTCTAGAGGGATGAACACAAGTGCCTGGACTCAGACACCCTCAGCTGGCTGGTACTCATCCCCCACAGAGGACCCCTCTGGGTCCCAGACTTAGGGGACAAAATGACACTGGTCAGAAGCAGGGGCACAGCCGGCTCACAGCTCAGTTCCAGTGCCTGAGAAGCAGGTAGCTGTGACCTGCAGGAGCTGGAGCAGCACTCCTGTGGGACAGGGATATCTATCCCCAGCAGTTTGCTTGGGTGAGTCCCAGAAAAAAAGCCTGAAAAGTGAATTCAGGGTTCCTGCCCATGACAACTGAGAGAAGCGCCAGGAGGAGCTGCAATGGATGGGAGGGCTGAGCCAAGAGAAACCTCACTGCCCTAAGCTCTGTCGTCAGGCCAGAGCTGCCACCAGCCAGGAAAGGCACTAAAACACACAGTCACCACATGGCTGAGGCAGGGAGGGACTTCAGTCCCAGAAGGGCTCCAGTCCCAGACCCTGCCCAGGGCAGGACTGCTCTCAGTGGTACAGGAGGTTGCTCAAGGCTGTGTCAGTTTTGAGCTTTTCCAAGAATAAGCTCTGCACAGCACTCTGGGAACTTGTACATTCTCACTTGAATACTTTTCCCTTCTATTTACTTGGACCTTCCCCTAATGCAACTTATCCCATTATCTCTTGTCCTGTTGCTGTGTTTCCCTGACAGACATCAGTCTCTGCCTTCTCCATCCTTCTCCCACAGGACATCTGTCCCTTTTCCTCTCCAGGGTGACCAAATCCAGCCTCTCCCTGTATATCAGAGGCAATGTGTTAATGACTCTGTCTAATGTTACTTGCTTAAGTAGAAATCTGGAAAGCATAGAGTACTTGAAGCCTAAAAATCCTTAATTACATGAATTCTTATACCCAAGCCCCTGTATGTGGCAGGTTCACTCCCAGCAGCTGCAACTCCTGCACTGCTATGGTTTGGGCTAAATATTGGAAAGGTAAGTGATTTCAGCCCTTAGACTTCAGAGGACTGGGTATTTCAAGCACTGCCAAGTGAGATCTTACCACAGCAAAATGCAGGAGATTACTGCCAACTTCGTTCCTGATTTTTTGGAACAGATTCACTACTGGTTTGCATGGGCCACACCAGGCTTGAAACACATCAACAACTGCAAGCAGGAAAATGGGTCAGAACCAGGTACAAATGGGTCAGTTGGAACACAGATCAATAGACCATATGCTAGAAGGGCTGGATTCAGCTCTGAACTGGAAACCCTTGTAAGATTTGAAGTGCTGCATCAGAGGACAGAATTACAAAATAACAAGCTAAGAATGAGGTGGAGGAGTCTTAAATAGAAACATGGATATCCTTGTGACCTTGCAGGTAGCAGATTTCCCAGGGAAAACTGCTGCACAGAGGCAGAGCACATGAGGTTTTCCCAAGAACCCTGGGAGCCAAGGCTGTTCCTTGTGCTGGGGACAGTCCTGTTCCAAGCAGTGGAGACTGGACCAGCACTGCTTGGATTGCATGATGACTGTCCCACAGAAATGAAGAGGACTACAACCTCCTGCTGGTCTCAACTCTGTTAGAATATTTTTTTCTTCCATTCAGGGTAAAGGGAATGGAGAGACTGACTAAACATCCTTAACACTAATAGCTCCTAACAGTCCTGGTGTCCTTTCAACACAGAACAAGAGCAATTCAGTGTGCTGACCAAACCCTTACCAATGAGTCCTTTGAGACACAGCATTTCTTCCCAAAGCTCCTGGCTAGTAATGTTAATCTGTGTGGAAAATTGAAAAACACAGTAAATGGCACAGTAATTCATCAGGTAATACCCAGCTGCTGCAAACATATGGACAAATCACTCCAGAGGGACACACGTGCCTGAAGAGGCATTACCTGAGCACTCAGGAAACTCCTCTCAGTGTGATTCTCTCACCTCTGACCAGCTGATCAGGATGCCTCACAAGATTCAAGGAAAGGCAAAGGGCAGCAGCATCCAGCCAAGGGCAAGTCTTCCCCTGTTTAGTGGCACTACTGGAACAGTGACTGCCTGAGGATCCCAGGCTCAGTTTGCAGAGTTGTTCTGGGGCTTGGCTGGGGCCCCCAAACTGAGATCCCAGACCCACAGCCCCTTGTCAGGATCTCCATCTGCCTGCCCAGGGTTCCGGTTGAACCACACCTTGTTCAGGCCCAGTCCTCACAGGGTTTATGAACCACCTGATTCTCCAGCAGCAGTTTCTCATCTTGCCTGCACACAAACTCTACTATTTGAGACGTTTCAGCCTTGATAGACTAACTGAACTAGTAAATGCACAGTTTCCATGATGTGTGGGCACTAGAGGGTGGTCTGAACCCAACATGTACTTATCTGAATTCCCAGCTGTTACTAAAGGCTTCCAAAGCACAGCGAACAGAGAACACAAAGTTCTAGGCTGGGAGGGGCCCGTGGAGCCCTTCATCTAATCTCCTGCACAAAACTCACTGTTAGATCAGCTTGCTCAGAGATTTACCCTGTCAAGCATGCCCTAGACCATTCCATACACAGCACTACCCACTCTATTATCCCACACTCCCAATACTGTTCTTAGGAAGGATATAATCCTTAGCATCTTCCCCATCTTTCATGGCTTGCCCTTCAGTATGTACTTAAGAGAGTTAAAATAAAAAAAGCTTCTTGGGAAACGCAAGGTCTGGTTTTGTTCATCGTGAACCATGAAGATTCCCAATTCCTTCCTCAGTGGGTATCGTCAACCCCAACTACATTTAGACTGCAGTGAAAGACAGCAGGTTGCATCAAGGCCAGCTATTTCACAATAATTAACACCAATGGGCATTAAAGGGCTGCCAAAATCTCCCAGCCAAGAATTCCAAGAGTGGAAACTCCCTCTCACAGGTGTTCAGAGCTGTGTCACTGGGGGTCACACAGGGCAGTTTCTCCAGGGCCTTGTCTCACTCAGGGAACAGGGAGCTGTTCAGATACCTCCGTTTATTCGCCTGCTCAGCACATGATCCCAAGCTTAGTTTTCTCAGAGAACACCTGCAGAACTATAAAACTTAATTATTCTTAGTGCTGGGACCACCCTCGGAGTGTTTCACAGAACGCTAATGAGTCTAAATGATTTACAACAGTATTTTCTGATAATGAATTTGGCCATGAGTTCAACTGCTGGGCTCAAGTACTGCTGGCACTCTTCAAGGTGCTTTGCTGATTTGGATGTCCTGAGGCTGCTTGGACTTGACTTTTCTCTAACAAAGCCAGACCCCTTCTAGGATATCCCCTCATGGCCTACACAGGTTCAGCTTTCATCTGCAGATGTAAAAAAATCCCAATTTTGCAGATGTAGACTCGGATTTCCCTTCACTGCCAAAGGGGCACAGTCCAGTCCATGTCAGGTTCCCCATCCCACAGGAACACAGTGGGACAAGCAGCAACAGAAACTATTCCTACCTTCATAAAATGTCCCTCTTTCCTTGTTTCATTGTTCACATTTCTAGTTCAACAGTGAATAAACAAGGTCATAGAGCCCATAATCGCTTTCATTATTTCTCTCTTGAGAAAACTGAACTGCTCTCAAAATTTGAAGCAGACCTGCAGAACCCATTTTCAGTTTTCAATGTTTTTGCATTATGAACTGCTCTTAGAACCGCTTTCTCCCCATGCAGTAGTTATAAAAAGCATCACTAGATCACCTATGCAGGAAAAATTCCTCTACACAACACTGTGAAATAGAGTCAAAGGAAAAAAAAAAAAAAAAAAAAAATCTTTCTTGTACCTCCTAGCTTTTCTACCTTTACAGCAATCTTTCTGAATACATGACCTGGTCAGAAATGTCCAATAACTTGCTATCCAGGAGATGTGCCAACCCCAGTTCCCTACTCCTAAATGTCCTCTGAGCTAATACCTCACAGAACAGGAATTTTGGTCTCTGACAGCAGCCAAACCTGTGCTAGGCCCCAACAACCCCAACCCCAACCTGCAACAGCTCCCTGTGCACCGCACAGCCCTGACTGGGGACACGTGTGACCTCCCACGCTTCCCACCTGCCTCCAGGAACACCTCTTCCCAACAAAGACCTTGCAGTGAGGCTTTGCCAACAGGATCTGAGATACCCCAAGACTGAACTCCATCCTTTGCACTTACTGAGAGTTTAAGTTTACAAAGTCTGCTAAAGGCCTGGCTACTACTGACCTGCAGCACTACCTCCTTTTTCTTTGCAGCCATCCTTCTGCAGGAACAGGGTCCTTCCAGCAGCTGTCCCAAGCACAAAGCACTACAGACGGCTTCTAATCACCTGGATCCAAGAACTGGCCAACCTGCACCACAGACAGAGCTTTTTACCTGTGTCTGCTGCTCCAGCCCGGACACAGCACTCACAGCATCGCCGCGGCCCTGCTGCAGTGCCCCCAGGCTGGACACCTTTGCTCACCCCTCCTCTGAGAGCCGAGCTGCTGCTGCGGGGCCTTAATGGCCGCTCCTTTCCAGGGCCTTGTGCAGCAGCTGGCAGGAGCCCAAGGCTGCCATGGCAGCGCTGGCATCGCCAGGGCAGCGTCAGCCCAGCCCAGCCCAGCCCAGCCCGCCCTGCTCCCTCCCCCGTGTCCGGCGCCGGCTGCAACTTCAGCTCCATCTCCCTTGGGACTCCTGGAGCAGCCGCTGCAGGTGGAGCCTTTCTCTCTCCTGTCCCTGCCCCCCCTGCCTGGCACCCCCCAGCCCAACACTCACCCTCCACTCCAGTCTTCGCACCTCTCCCCTAAACTGGGGGCTCAAAGCAAGGCGTGACCTCAGAGCACTGAGCAAGGGTGTCCCCTTCCAAACCAGCTCAGTCTGGGGAGGTTTGTGGTTTTCTTTTCCTCTCTGCAGTGAGTGAGAGCAGTGCCAGTGCCCAGCACCCCTGGCGATGCCGTTTGGGCAGGGCTGCTGCTCTTAGTCCATCCCCTCCCGCACCTGGGCACACTGGGCTGCAGAGGCACAGCTTGGAGCTGCTTCTTGTCACACAGCACACAGCACCTGCTGGCCTGTCCTCCAACTGCTCACCCTCCTCCTGGGCTGAGGATTCAGGTTTCGGTACATCAATGCCCCCACAATGTCTCTTTTTGTAGCAATCAGCCTGCAGAAAAGCCCTGATCATTCTGGCCACCACTGAAAGTTTGCAAACCGACAGTTCTTGTGCTCACATTTCAGGATTACCAAAGCCCTTTTAAAGCCATTTTCTACTTTTAAAGAACCTAATCTCAGGCACCTCAATTATTCCTCTGCCTGCTGTGTTACTGCTTCAGCACGTTTGCTGAGGTACAGCATCCATGGCAATAGGTAAAGTCTGTAAAAATAAATTTTAAAAATGGTATCCTGGCACAAGCTGCTTTACACAGGTTATTTGGCTTCTTTCACTACCACAATGCAAATCTGTGACTGGAGCTATTATTCCTCATATATTTTATTTGATTTTCTGTGTAGGAAAGAGTCCAAATGTGGAATGAAGGTGGTGGGGAGAGCCAAGGGTACCACTGTCTGACAGCTGGTGTCCCAAATCCCCTGCTCAACTATTCACTTTGTAACACGTGTAACCTCTGAAAGAAGGATTCCCATCACTAGACCCATATATAAAGAGAGGACATACTTATCAACATCCATCAGGATGGTTTTTCAGCAGAGAAACGGCCCAAGAACAGCAGAAATCCTGGTAATTCATATGATGTCCAGACAAACTTTGCTTTGGTTCTGTAAGCAACCCTGGAATTAACAATCTGCTGCTACCTCATTAAGTTGGGAAAGCTCTGAGTGACCAGGAAAGTCTGTCCCACTGTGAATCTTAGGCTGTAGAGAAGCTGGCACAGAGAGTTCATATTTCTTCAGGAAGCTGAGAAAAATCTAGATGTACTGGTAAAGTTCTTTTTATTTACAGTATTCTTCTTTTTGTACATACCTATAGCAACATCAAAAATTATTCACAAAGTTTAACTGAATGTAAAAATGTTCTTACCCAACAGTTTGTCCTCTCTATACCTGTGGAAAATGTCAACTGTTCTCAAGCAGCAACAAGATTGTCTGAGCATGGGTTTTTAGCTTTTCTGGCAGAATTTTAGCAAACCATCTCAAAACTTGTACAGAGATACTTTTACTCACCTTTTTTCTGAACACCTGTAGGCACCAAAGTTCTATAGAATCAAACGCAGATTTGCTTTAAGAAATGTGAATTGGGGAATGATGAGAGGAGATACATAAGAACTCGAGCTCCTCAACACAGACAGGAGTGCAAATGGGGCAGGGAGATCCCCACTGGACAGTTTTGTTACAATACCTGCCTCAGAACTTTTTTCTCAGTTTAAGCAAAAATATATTTGATTGAATTTTATAAACAAGACTCTGCTTCTGAGGTACTTATATTGAACAAGTTCTCACATATGTTTACTTTCCCTTTTGTTCAACCCCCAAAGTCCATCATGAAACATTTGCAGAAGGACGTTAAAAAACTGCCAGTCACTTACTGCAATGCCTGGGGAAAAAGTGTCAGGTGCTCACTTTTATTTGTCTTTGAGAGTGGAAGAAGTTACATGAAATGCAGATATTCTTCTTTGCAACCAAGTGATAACAGTTATCTGATATACAGCACATTCAAATTCCAGGCCAAACTGTGGTCACATTTTCTGACACAAAGTTACCTTGGAAAAAAAGTAAGGCTGTCATCACAATTTGACCTTCTGATTAGAAATAAAAGATTTAGATAATTATCAAAATTGGTTAGCAAAGTTACAGACTTCTCTTCTTGCTGCAGCCTTCCTGAAGCTCAGTGTAAGAGAAGAAGGATTTGGTTTAAGACATTGGCTGCAAATTCTAGTGCCTGTTAGTGCTATGTAAATACAATGTCTGGGGAGTCTGACTATGAACTGTGGTCTAAACTGAAACCAGAAAGAAGACCTGAGCAGAGTCAAAACCCTGAACTGCTTGAGGAGACTGGGAAGTCACTGGGCTCTGCCATTCCAGCCAGCCTGAGCTCACACAGTCCCCTTCACTTGCACTCGTGTTTCCCCCTGCACACTTGCAGGCACCATTTCAGGAACATACAGACACTCAGAGCTTCTGGATGCAGTCACACCCCACCAATTATCCAGCAAATTAAATCCATGCATGTGTGTATAGCTGCAAATATACAGAAAATATGTAGCAACATTATTGAGCTATAAAACAAGACAGAAGCCCCAGGTTTTCCATCCCTTCCCCAACTTAATGCACCCAGTTGATCATTTGTGGAAATAATTTGGAAGTCACTGAGCTATTAGTGGAGATAAAGGATGCAAAACAAAAGCAATCCCTTAATCCTGTTTGCCAACTCCTTCTAGTCTCTGGAAGGTATAACTTCTGCAACACACAGTTTGCTCTGCTGGTATCAGTGATCAGCAAATCCTTCTGACCATGAATAAGCCAACCCTTCAGCAAGTAGCTGAGCAAGTTCCTGGGTGGCAAAACAAGAGCTTATTCCTGCTGATCTTGCAGCCACCTGCTCCTTTCTGAAAAGCATCAGTCATGCTAACCCTCAAGTATGAGCTTGTTTTCCAAAAATGAAAAGAAACCCAAACCCAATCCAGTTGGGCCATTCCATGCATTTGAGCATGTCATCAATGCCAGGTGACCTTGTATTGTGGCCAAGAACTCTTGGACATTGTCAGTACAGAATGTGCTGCTTGGAATTTGAAGTCTATTGTCTCCTTCTCTTTTTCTCTTTAAAAATGAAGTATAATGTAAGTTAAGCTGAAGTTCAGAAATGCATATATTTTACTTAAAAACATTCATCTGTTCAAAATTCAAAATAAACTTTATGGGATACAACAGTTTGGTTTTTTTTTTTTTAAATAACATTTCATTCAAACGGTATATAATTCATTGAAGTATTCGTACAGCAAACAATGGTTAACCCTTGAAAACCTGTAGAAAAAGATTTTCACACAAAAAAAAGGAAAACCAAAAGTGAGGTCTCACACCCACACACTCAGCCCGGCACACGCACGCACTCGAGCACCCACACACCCACACAAGGCTGCAGCAAAAGCAGAGAATTGGAGGCCCAAAAGGAAAACGATGACTGATTGTTCTATCTGAGAGTCCAGGTAGCTCAGGAAAAAAAAAAACAAACCAAAAAACCAAAACACCCCCCCCCCGAGTCCTCTGAGTAAAGAAACTACCTCAAGAAAATTCTCAAGTGCACTGGAGACCTGATCATTCGAACTGTTTCTGCAAAGCAGCTCCCTGCACCTGAGAAAAATGCAGCCCAAGGTGACTTGTGCAAATATAAGGAGTCAGGAGTATCTCCTGCTATTCCTTAAGTAGACATGAGGGGTGTCCATAGATTCAGTTAGTCTTTGATCATGCAAGGTACTGCTGGAGTGCTGTCTTCGCCCTGCAAGAAAGAACAACCCATTAATTACAGCAGGCTGGCTTCAGCAGCAGCAGCAGCTTCAAGAGCAGGCTCAGAGTGTGCCAGCAGAGAGGAAGGGAGGATGGATGAGGAAAAAGCTCCCTCATTTTGGAAGGATCTGGCCCATGGTGCAGAAATGCTCTGGGTGGATTGTAACTGTTAAAGAATCCACCTGGCATCCAAGGATAACCCGATCTAGCCAATGACACTGAATCCCAGCACAAACTGAGGCACTCCCAGCATGGTGGGGCTTGGGATGTGTGTTATACACACCTCCCACAATCCCTCAAGAGCAATCACTGAAGAGCAATTGCTTTCTGTAATACAGGTGTACCATGAAAAGCAGGTCTTTCAGCTGAGAAACCAAGGAGTGTCAAGTCAGAATTTACTAAAGACACAGGAATCCTGTAGGAATACTGGCCCCACCAAAAGCATAGTGAGGCGAGAGGGAGAAAGAAGCCAGTCTAATAATGCATTTATGTAATCTAATATTGCATAATGTTTTTGTTAAAACAAAAACACCTCCTAAAACTCCTCTGGGGTTACAGTTCCATCATCACACAGGCTGAGTTTCCTCCCACCTGAAGTGAGACACTTTGCTCTTCCTTTGTCCCCCACATCTCCCAACCTGCTACCATGACCTTAACAGACTTTTCCAGGACCGGATACAACTCATCAACAGGGAAGAAGATTATTCATTTGTTTTTTCCCATCTTCCTGCTGTGATCACAAGCCATAATAATAGCCCATGGAGGGAGCTGGTGTGGCAGCAGTTGGATATCAAAATGTTCCTGATGATCATTTTCAGTGCTAATACTCTGGCATAGATTTTAAGATGAGAAGCCCTAACTTTCCTACAAAGATGTCTAAGAACACTAGAACATCTTTTATAAAACCAGGAATACCAAATTTAATGCATTTTAAAAACAACACACAGTTTTGAGTTGCATTGTCTGTGTGTGACATCTTCCAAAGATTAGACTTTCTTCTTTACTTTGTGAAAGAAATTGGGCTGTTGCCAACTGTAGGTGGGATAACTGCATAAGGTTAACATAAAACCCCAGAAATTGTCAGTAACTGTTTTGGTTT